CCTTCTGCCCGCATTGTCCAAACTGCGAATCGCCTTCTCTCTTAAAGTGAGTGCATACTTCGCGATCCGATTGCTTGAATCCAACCGACCGAGCGATCGGGTCGCTGAATATGAGTGCGTTTGCATTCTTCTAAATGCGCGTTCAGACTTCGCCCGATCTAGTTCGCGCGATCCAGTTCGCGCGAACTCTTTCGGGCGATTGCGAAGTCTGAACGCGCTCTAAAAATCAAGTCACAGATCTATACCTATGCTTTTCCTGTCCCTGATGCGCATTGCCCGAAACGCTGTCTCCTGGGCACATCGTCGTTGGGGATTCTCGAAACGGGGTCGTACTTGGTCTAAGAAATTTTTTTGTAGCTGATTATTCTTGTTTTACGTACCCTACAAAGGCGGGGGGGGTCGTATTTGGTTGTTGGGTAGGGGGGTCGTTTTGGCCTTCGCTATAAGGAAAAAGTTTTCCGGTTGCGGAGTTTTCGTGGTTTTTCCCGTTTCACTTGCGCTAATACCCTCCCTCCCCCACCCTCCGACTCCCCAAAAAAAGAGGGGGGGGGTCGTACGGACTCGATCAAAATTCCCAATCAATGACATGCCTCGGCTGACTCTTACATTCTCCCGAGTCGCAAAGCGTGAACGTGGCTTCACCAGGTGAAGGACCTGTGCTACACCTGCGCCTGATATAAGTAATGCCCGACCTTACTACTAAGCCTAACCACGACATAATTGGTAATTAACCACACCTGAGTACTTACTTCGAAGAAGTTCAATAATAAGTGCAATAAATAAGTATGTGGAAGAAGAACTGGTGAATTTGATTGCAGTAGTTAGACATTAAGCATTAAAGCTCGACGATGGTAACTATAGTATTGAAAATCTTTAGTGTAAATACGCTGCTTATTATGGCCGTTCCATCCAATGCTAATTATGAGTCTTTATACTGGAAGTTTCAGGGAGAAGATGACAGCTGTAGCGAATCGTGTCTGTTTGATTGTCATCGATGGCTGGGGCCTTTCAGAGGAGTCCGATGGAAATGCGATTATGCATGCCAAGACACCTGTCATGGATTCACTATGCTCTGGTTAGTGATCAGCAATACATTTAAAATACTGAGAATCAGGAAGCGAAGGTAGTTTGTGGAAGGGCAATGCCGGCGTGACTATTTCACGTCATGTCTGACTGTCTGCGCCCTCTCACCGAATAGGAAATTGACGTATATACTCATTCCAAACTTTCTGAGGGTGTGGCGAGAGGGTATGTGGCAAGAGAATCGTGATTCGCCGCGCCAGTGGCGTCGCGTGCGACGTCGCGCCCGCTAATGACGACAATTTTGGGTGGTATTGGTCGAGAATAGACAAGTATGACCAAAAATAGACAAGTGCTTACCATACCCTTGTCTGCATGACATCCTATGCTCCATTGTAGAGGGTAGTGCAAATTACCCTCTAGAATGGAGCGTCGCGACCACTGCCGCGCGCGACAAAGCGGCAGTTTACGTTTCTCTTGCCCGTCTCCCTGACGAGACATGAACTAGAATACAGACAAAAAAAGGATATGACGAGGCACTGCTGCGTCCTCTGGCCCCTTCCCTCAGCTACCTTTGCCCGATCAGAAGTATGAGAAGAAAAGGAAAGGACTCTAAGATATGGGATGATTTTATGCTAAGATATGGAATAATTTTATAATTTCAGGAAACTGGACACAGATCGAAGCGCACGGCCTTCATGTCGGTCTCCCAGAAGGACTTATGGGTAATTCTGAGGTGTGTTCTATCTCTCAAGTCGAACATCGCATCTTGCTGTGCTTTTAGCCTCAAACTGAACTATGAACATTTTCGTTCCTCAAGGAAACCTTTAGGTTGGTCACCTTAACATCGGTTCCGGCCGTCCAATTTACCAAGACATTGTGCGTATCAATCTCGCCATCAAGAACGATACTCTGGTGAGTTTTTGCCATGAGTAGTGCTTTCCCACTTATTCATTATCGCGCAGGTGAACGCGAACGTAGTGTGTACAATCGTGGCGCGGCCCTATTGCACATTCATGTAACATACTATTGCAGTCTGAACAAAACCAAAATATCCATCTAACGCTCGTACATGCAGTCTTAGAGTGGGTAGTCCATCTCGGAGAGCGAAAAAGAGCGTTATCAAGTAATTATTTAGTGCAGTTTTGAGGCTCCCCATTCTCGTGCCGTCTTCCGCCTCTTATATATACTCTAGTTCGCAGCGGACGGTTGGGCGTGTCAGGCAGTATGAGTGTGTCGTAGTGGAGACTGAAAGGCGACCACAATGTGAACACTGGCTGGGCAACCGCGCAAACCGAAGGTAAGAAGCGTTCCGACATTGCGCACACCAGCTCAGTATTTTCTTGCTAGTTGGCTTGGCGGCTGTAAACGCAGAGAGAGAGTCAGCCGAATTGGGAGACGCAGACGTGGAGGAAATGGAGAGTCGACACGCCACAACTTTGCGACGTTAAGTGGATTGGGTCCTGGCGCGAATGCTGCGTACGTTACCTGCTTACAACACTGTTTGTCGCCCTCGCCTCACATCCGTGAAGTAACGCTCTACATGGTGGGCTACCCATGTGAACCCTGAAGCGCAAAAGGAGCAGCTTGTCGGCCTTGTACACTATCGCTCGCGTTAAATTCGTGTTATTTCGTTCACCCAAGCATGTGAGAACTTCTCTTCAGGTGAAAAATGAGACGCTGATAGCTGCGTGTAACCGTGCCAAGGGTAGCAACGGTCGTATTCATCTAGCTGGTCTTGTTTCTGATGGAGGAGTGCATTCCCACATAGGTCAGTTCTTCTACACGGATCTTACGCCGAAAAACTTCCAGTTCACTAATTACAATTAATGTTTCGTTAACTTGATTTAGAGTACACTTTTCAGATCATCTGTTCGCTTTGATAAAATGCATCAAGCAACTGGGTGTACCGGAATGCTTCCTTCATTTTTACGGAGATGGTCGTGACACTTCGCCGACTAGTGGGGTTGGCTTCCTCGAGAAGACCATTGCCTTTATGAAGGAGCAATCCTATTGCCATTTGGCAACCATTGTTGGACGGTGAGCATTAGTTTTTTTCATCTTTTGCAGTACAGACCACCCTTTTACCAAACTGCGTTGGTATTGGGAATAACAGAATCACATTTGTTCGACTGTGTCTGTCCCGGTTCACGTGGGACCCAGTCTACAAAAGATGAATTGTTCTATGATCAGAATGTTCGGATATTGTTAGAACATTTGGTTACACTCATGGAATGCTTACAGTCGAAAATTTCAATTTTCAGTTACTACGCGATGGACCGTGATAAGCGTTGGGAACGAATTTGCGTGGCCTATGAAGCTATGATTGGAGGAAAAGGCGAGGCGTGCTCTGTTGACGAGGTACCTTCAACAGCTACATACACTATTTGGTGATACTGTTAGGCAAAAGTAGCTAGGAGGGGGCACGCGGCAATCCAGATGTGTCGCGTCTTGTCT